TGCAGAAAGGCACACCCTCCCCATTTAGGTGAAAACCAGCCAGAGCATTGAGGGTGGAGATGTCCCCCTGCCATCAGCTCACCGTCTTCACTGAGATTAGCATGCCGTGGGATCTGTGCCGCCGTCACAGCATAGCTGAGTCTGGGCAATTTATAAAAGGCAGAAATGTATTCCTTACAGTTCTGGAAGCTGGGAAATCTAGGTTCGTGCTGCTGACATTGGTGAGGACCTTCTTCCTGTGTCCCCACCTGGGGCAAGGCAAAGACAGAAGCAACTTCCTTTCTCAAGGGCTTTAGAAGCACACATGGGGCTGGCGTGGTGGTGTAGTGGGTAGACCCGCCACCTGTGATGCCATTGTTCTAATTCCCAGCTCCCTGCTAAGGGCCTGGGAAAAGCAGTGGATGATGGCCCAAGTGCTTGGTCCCCTGCCACCCATGTGGGAGACTTGGAAGAATCTCCTGGCAGTCTAGCCAGCTGAGCCCTGGACATTGTGGCCATCTGGGGAGTGAACCAGCAGATGGAAGATAGTGTCTCTCTCTCTCTCTCTCTCTCTCTCTCTCTCATTCTCTGTGTAACTCTTTCAAATAAATAAATAAATCTTTAGAAACACAGACACAGCTACACACACACACAATCCCATTCATGAGAGAGTTCTCTTGACTTAATCACTCCTTAAAGATCCCACCTTTGTTGTTGTTAATATTTACTTTTATTTATTTGAAAGGCAGAGTTGAGAGAGAGAGAGAGAATCATCCATCAGCTGGTTCACTTCCCCAGAAGGCTGCAATAGCCAAGTGGGACACGAACAAGCGCCCACATAGGATGCCAGCATCGTAAGTGACAGCTTAACCTGCTGCACCACAATGCCGGTCCCAAGGGCCCACCTCTTCTTTTTCTTTTCTTTTCTTTTTTTTTTTTTTTTGGTTAAGATGTATTTATTTTTTTAGCCTTTTTTTTTTTTTTTTTTTTTTTTTTTCGCCAGGCAGAATGGACAGTGAGAGAGAGAGACAGAGAGGAAGGTCTTCCTTTTGCCGTTGATTCACCCTCCAATGGCCGCAGCGGCCAGTGCACCGCACTGATCCGAAGTCAGGAGCCAGGTGCTTCTGGTCTCCCATGCGGGTGCAGGGCCCAAGCACTTGGGCCATCCTCCACTGCACTCCTGGGCCACAGCAGAGAGCTGGCCTGGAAGAGGGACAACCGGGACAGAATCTGGCGCCCCAACCAGGGACTAGAACCCGGTGTGCCGCGCCGCAGGCAGAGGATTAGCCTATTGAGCCTGTGGTGCCGGCTCAAGATTTATTTATTTATTTAAAGTCAGAGTTACGCAGAAAGAGAAGGAGAGGTAGAAAAAGAGAGAGAGAGAGAGAGAGAGGTCTTCCATCCACTGGTTCACTCCTCAGATGGCTGCAATGGCTAGGAGCTTCCTCTGGGTCTCTCACATGGGTGCAGGGGCCTAAGGACTTGGGCCATCTTCTACTGCTTTCCCAGGCCATAGCAGAGAGCTGGATTGGAAATGGAGCAGCCAGGACTTGAACCAGCGTCCATATGGGATGCCGGCACTGCAGGCAACAGTTTTACCCACCATACCACAGCTCTGGCCCCAGGGCCCACCTCTAAATACCAAGACACTGGCAACACTTGGAAGGGATGCATTCAAACCGTAGTGTAGAGATTTGTCCCTTGATGTCAATCTATAATGAACATTCCAATTATTGAATGTTAGTGCTTGGGAAAAGCTGACTTATGCTATAACATCAGGTTTACAACAGAGAATCCAAACAGTAGGTATCTACAGCATTTTTTAAAAAGATTTATTTATTTATTTGAAAGTACACAGAGAGAAGGAGAGGCAGAGAGAGAGAGAGAGAGAGAGAGAGAGAGAGGTATTCCATTCGCTGGTTCATTCCCTAATTGGCCACAATGGCTGGAGCTGTGCCAATCTGAAGCCAGGAGCCAGGAACTTCTTCCGGGTCTCCCTCGTAGGTGCAGGGTCCATCTTCTACTACTTTCCCAGGCCATAGCAGAGAGCTGGATTGGAAGTGGAGCAGCCGGGACTTGAACCTACCTGTCCCTGGCAGGAGCTTGGAGGCAAAGAGATGGGTGAGAAGCAGTGCTCGGTAAATCTGCTGTCGATGGGAGAGCTGTTCACATCTTCACATATTTTTGCTCTCATTTTCCCAGCATTAATTTTTTAATTCTATTTGAAAAGCGGAGAGGGATTAAGAGCTCTCATCTGCTGGTTCACCCTTCAAATGCCTGCCATAGGCCTGGGTTCAAGGATCACAAGCAGAGCCAGGATTGCCAATATAGGATGTGGCTTCAGGCGGTGTCTTTACCGCAGCACCTAGTGCCTGTCCCTCTCCCGCCAACATTCAGTTTTTATTTTTCTTTTATTTATTTGACAGCAGAGTAAGAGAGGGAGAGACAGAGATATCTTCCATCCAGTGGTTCATTCCCCAAATGACTGAAACAGCCAGGGCTGGGCCAGGAAAATGGCGCTCTTTTATCTGTGGCGCGATCTACACCCTGACACCATCCTAGGCTCTAGCCTCGGCACCATTGCTGGAAGCTCCACCCCCATCCTAATAGGATTCGCTGCTCCTGCTTCCCTCCAGCAAAGTTTTAAAAGGGCCTGTTCCTGAACGCCTGGCTCTCTCAGGCTCCTCTCTCCCCTCCTCTCTCTTGTTCACTCTCTTCTCTCTGCTCTCAGTTCCTCTCTCCTCTCGCTCTCATCCTTCTTCTCCTACCAGGTCTCCCACATGAGTGGCAGGGGCCCAAGTACTTGGACCTTCTTCCACTGCTTTCCTAGGCAAATTAGCAGGGAGCTGGATAAGAAGTGGAGCAGCCAGCACTTGACCTGTTGCTTATATGGGATGTAAGATAGTCACAAAACACACCAAACCCCGGAGTAAGGGAAAGAGTTTATTTGGGAAAACCCAGCAGGCTGGAAGGAAGGGGTAAGGAAGGAAGAGAAAGAAGGAGAGTGTAAGGGAGAGAGACAGAGACGGAGGTCAGGAGGCGGAGAGGAAGAAAGAGAGAGGAGAGGAGAGAGGAGAGAAGAAGATGAGAGCGAGAGGAGAGGAACTGAGAGCAGAGAGAAGAGAGTGAACAAGAGAGAGGAGGGGAGAGAGGAGCCGAGAGAGCCAGGCGTTCAGGAACAGGCCCTTTTAAAACTTTGCTGGAGGGAAGCAGGAGCAGCGAATCCCATTAGGATGGGGCGGAGCTTCCAGCAATGGTGCCGAGGCTAGAGCCTAGGATGGTGTCAGGGTGCAGATCGCGCCACAGATAAAAGAGCGCCATTTTCCTAACATGGGATGCCCACATCATAGAAATCAGCCACAATTCCAGCCCTGAACTTTAAGATTGTTTTGTTTTGTTTTGAATTTATTTGAAAGGCAGAGTGACAGAGAAAGAGATCTTTCATCTGCTGGCTTACTCCCCAAATGAATGCAATGACCGGGCTGGGCCAGGCTGAAGGCCAGGAGCCAGGAACAGGAACTACATCCCGGTCTCCCTCGTAGGTTCAGGGACCCAAGCAACCTGGGTCATCTTCCACTGCTGTCCCAGGCACATTAGCAGGAAGCTGGATTGGAAGTGGAACGGCTGGGACTTGAACCAGTGCTCTGACATGGGATGCTGGCGTCACAGGCTACTGCTTAACCCCCATGCACCACAACGTCACCCTTGGCTGTATTTTATGTCCTCTGATGTCCACACTTGTCCACTTCCAATCTAGCTTCTGGTCCACTCTGATGTCCTCCTGGTACTCATGGACCACGTGGTCTCAGGATTTTTATCACCTGCCCTCCTTTCTTTCCCAGGGGCACAGATAAAACCCCAATGCCATGGAACTTCCACCCTGCTACAAGTATCCCCAGGCCCCTGCAATCCTCCAGCCCGACTCCAGATGGCCTGTGTCCACCGAGGTTTGTCTGACATCTTGCGACCATCTGGCCTGTGTTCCAAACGAATGAAGGGGTCGTGAGGGAAGGGTGGCAAGAAAACACACCCCAGACTCCCACAAAATACTGCCAAGGGTGGAATCTGAAATCCCAAAAGTCTAAGAGAGAAAGAAGCGGTGATGAGAGTCTGATCTGGTCACTTTCGGATGCGGGGCTGGCGGACAGGGTCAGGACATGCTGCACTGGCTCAGTAGCTGGCACACAGTAGGTGCTCAAACATAGTGAGAAATTAACGCTCCCAGCATTGCTGTGGATAACAGGCATGCGTGGCCGGGTACCCCCCTCCCAAGGATCCCGATCTCGGAGACTATGAGGCCAGCGCACAGCTGGGTCGCAGGAAATGCCGAGAGCCGCCGGAGCTCCATGCAGCCACCGCCCTTGCCTGCCTGGGGTACTTTAGGGGCCAGCGGCGCTGGGAGAGGGGCGCGTAACTCTCCGAACACCTGGCTTCCAGGCGGCGGCCGGATCCAGACGTGGCGCGCGGCCGGAGAACTCCATTTCCCATAGGTCCCGCGCTCGCGACTCCATTTCCCACAATTCCGCCTCCACTTCCGGCGTGGCCGGGGAGCTGCGGACGGCTTCCGGGTTTGGGCCTGGCGCTGCGGTTGAGGCAGCATCGGCGGCGGCGGTAGCGGCGGGGCTGAGCGGGACGCGGGTGGAGAGAGTGGCCGTCGGCATGGACGTTTCGGGCCAAGAGACCGACTGGCGGAGCGCCGCCTTCCGGCAGAAGCTGGTCAGTCAAATGTGAGTATGAGCTGGGGCTGAGGTCGGGGTCGGGGTTGGGGCTGGGGGTTTGGGGGCGAGGGGAGCGAGATGGCCAGACCTTCCTCCCTCGCCCGGCGGGAGAGGCCGGGGCCGGACCCACGAGAGACCCCGGGCGCCGGGAACCCGGAGGCGCCCAGGCGCCGCGAGGGTCCCAGGGCGCGGCCCTCCCCCGGCTGCCCCCCTTCGTTCTGGGTCGACAAGGACTGCTTGTTAGCTTTCCTGGGGCCGAACTCTGCAAACCAAGCGAGCCCTGCTTATGAGTCATCGTCCTGGGCTTTCTCGTTCGTCATTTGTGTGCCTTGGGTGCAGACTTCTCCCCGCTTTGAATCGCACTGAAGACAGAAAGGGAAAGAGGCAGCAGCCCCGTAGTGGGTGTAGCAGAGTTAGGAGCTTCGTGATTTCTCTTCCCGGAAAAGCGCCATCGGGGTGAGAGACGGAGATTGAAGGAGGCGGTGGATGGAAGGGTGAGACCAGGCGGGCAGGTGTTTGGGCTTTGGGGACAGAGGGTCTAACAGGGGTCGCCCCCCGACAGAGTGCACGGAGGGCTGTCTGGAAGACATCGCGGATTCTGCGGGAGGCAGTGAAGAGCTAGGGTTAGTGCCCCCTCCCAGCGAGAGCTCCGGCCTCCCACCACCGACTGCTTAGTCCAAGTAGCGGTTTGAACTGAGCCTACCTGGCCGGCGTTGGTGGTAGCCTCAGATTTGCCTGCGGAATGCCACTGGCACGCGGGAGAGGCACAGACCTAGTGTCGTCCTGTGGTGTTGCAGGGTCTTAGCTTGAGCAGGCCAGGAGCAGCCTTGCGGAGTCGGTGGGGAATAAATGGGGCCCTGGGAAGGCAGGTAGCAGCGTGAGGAGCACCGTTCAAAGCGGGGGCAGGAGCGCTTACTGCGGGGAGGGTCTTGTTGGCCGAGAGGGTTCAGGGGTTTGGGGAGTGAGGAAGTGCGGTGATAATGGAACGAGGGTGAGCAGGTGCTGGCATGTTCGTGGTGGGGCTGTACTGCTAAGGAGTTGAGCTTGTATTTGGCACCCGGCCTGTTTTGAGGTCTTGAAATGCCAGTGTTGGGAAGCTCCCTTGAGTCCCTGGAGATGGATCAAGCACAGAGAAGAAAGGCAAGCCAGGCCCTTGGGGAGTTCGGAACCGGTGTGGGGGTGGGAGGGACCCGTCCTTTGTCGTCCACTGCCTGTCACATGACCCCGTAAAAGGGTTGTGGGTCGACCTGGTCAGGTGGGGGATTATGAGGGCCTGCGTTGGACCGTGGTAGCAATGAAAAGAGGAAGACAGATTCCCGAGACGCGAGCGTGTGGGCAATCCTTGATGACTAATTGGGCGCAGGGGTGGGGGTGAAGCAGTGTGGAAGGAAGGAGGCTGGGCCCAAAGCGGGGAGCCCTGAGCCCAGCGTGGGGGCGCAGAACAGCCCCTGGGAGTTGCTAGGGGAGCGGTGCTTTGTCGATGCACTTGCGCTATCTGTAGGTGAAATCCTAAGGGATAGCCCGGCTTCAGAGTCCTTAGGGCAAGGTGCAAGGATCCCTCCCGGGGAGAGCCTGGGACTGGGGACTGAAGAACCGGAAGAGTGAGTTGTCATTCAAAAGGAAGTGGGGGGTGGGGTGGGCCAGGAGGGCCATTGAGGAGCTCTGGGGTGCTGAGACTGACCTGACTGGTACTAAATAATTCAGCGGCCTTTGCTTCCAGGAGGACTGTTCTTCTCTGCCAGGCCACCCGCCTGTGCATTCCTCTTCTATTGCTAAAGAAACAAAGACCGTGAATTACCTCTCAGAGCAACAGGCCAGAGCTCAGGTGGGCTAGGCTGGGTCCTTGCTTAGGGTCTCAGGAGGCTGAAGTGCAGATGCTGGCAGAGGACGTTTCTTCCGGGTTGTTGGCCGAATTCAGTTCCCCGTGTTTGGATGACTGAGGGATCCTCTGTCCTTCCTGGCCGTTCGCCAGGGGTCGGTCTTTGTCGCGAGAGGCTGCCTGCGTTCCTCCTCTTGCTTCCCCTGTGGCCAGGTCCTCCTGCACACCCTGAGAGCTTCCAGCGCTGGCTGAAAGCGGGGGCCAGTCTGCTCTCCCAGCTTGCAGTGAGAGAGAGCGACTCCGGGCTGGGCTGCTCAGGAGAGCTCACGGCACCGTTTCTGGCCCAGCCCCTTCTTAACCCTCTGTGTCTGCCGCCCCCACAGCACAGGTGGACGTGAGGCGGTGGGCAGCCCAAGGGGCCAGCGTCACTGCCCGACTGCAGACCCGTCGGTGGCTCCCCTTAGTGGGAGAATACAACTCCAGATGGCCCACCCTCAGCCCCTCAGCCTGCTCTGTCTCATCATCTCGTGTCTCCCACCCTGTTGCAGCCTCTGGTCTCTCAGCTTCTTGAACATTCCAAGGTCCTTTCAAAGAATTTATTATCAAATATTTAAGGTAGTGAAAAATGGGGTAAGGGCCTGCGTTGCGGCACAGCAGGTTAAACCGCTGCCTGCAGCACTGGCCTCCCATAGGGGAGTCGAATCCCAGCTGCTCCACTTCTGATCCAGCTCTCTACTAATGTGCCTGGGAAAGCAGCAGAGGGTGGACCAAAGTGCTTGGGCCCTGCGTCTGTGTGGGAGACCAAGAAGAAGCTCTTGGCTCTGGACTTTGGACAGGCTCAGCTCCGGCCATTGTGGCCCTTTGGGGAGTGAACTAGCGGATGGAAGACCTCTCTCTCTGTCTGGCTCTCCCCTCTTTCTGTAACTCTGCCTTTCAAATAAATAAATAAATCTTTAAAAAAATTCTAAAAAGAGGAAAATGAGGTAGACTTTGTCCCACTGTTTTCAGGCGTTCCTTCTCTGTAAGCGTCTGCCTCTGTCCCGTGTTCAGAGGCTCCTTCCCCACTGTTCTTCCCCACCGCCCCCTGCCTAAGTGGGTTTTGTCTTCGCCTGCCTTTCTAGTTCTCAGAACAGGCTGGGTGAGATGTCCCCTTTCTGCGGGGCTGCGGGGGCATTCCTTCACCTGAGCCAGTGTGTTTGTGAAACTCTGGACCCCCCCCCCCCCACTTGTTAGCTGACTGACCTTGGGCAGGGTGCTTGACCTTTCTGAGTCATTTCCTTCATCTAGGAAACGTGTAGGCCCTCCGTCTGTCTCACAGGGATGATGGGAGGGGAAGTGAAGGGACCTCAGTACAAGCCTTTATTTTACTTTATATTTTTAAAAGATTTAATTATTTTATTTGAAAGGCAGAGTTAGGGAGAGGCAGAGAGAGAGAGAGCTTCCATCTGCTGGTTCATTCCCCAAATGACTGCAACAGCTGGAGCTTCTTCCAGGTCTTCCATGTACGTGCAGGGGCCACCTTCTGCTGCTTTCCCAGGTGCATTAGCAGGGAGCTGAAATAGAACTGGAGCAGCCGGGAATCGAACCGGCGCCCGTATGGAATGCTGGTGCTGCAGGCAGTGGCTTAACTGGCTACTCCGCAGCACCGGTCCCCCTTAAAGCTTTTGATTGACACCCACACTCCCTGCAGAGGCCACAGGAGAAGATGCCCCTAGGGCCTCCTAAGGCAGCCCTTTGGGGCTGGGGCCTGCCTTGGCGGCTTGCTGAGTTCAGGTTAGGAACGGCTCTGGTCTGCAGGCTCCTGGAGAGCAAGCTTGGGGCTGTGCTGACAGTGCTGTGCCTTGCATAGAGGATTCCAGAACATACGTAAGCGGCGAGTGAACCGAAGGGCCCGGCAGTCATTTCCTCCCGGTTCTTTGTAACTGTTCTGCCATTATAGTCTTGAGGCTTCTATGCCTCTCAGCCCTTAGCATAGCAGATTGTACCCACAGTGATGAGCGGAACGCAGAGTGGAGGAGACGCAGGTGAGGAAGGGCAGCCCTGTGTTGGGGCCCTGGAAAAGTGCCAGCAGGGACTCTGGGACAATGCACGGGACATGATCAGGCAGACAAGTTTGGCCACTTCTGGTGAAACCCCCAGGGAGACAGGCGAGCCCCAGCCTCAGGACATAGGCGATATGGGGAACTTGGTCCAGACTACCAACAGAAAGGCAGGTGCTGTTTAACCAGAAACAAAACAGACAACTCAGCAGGAACTTACAGGGTGTCTCTGTCTCCTTAAACTTGCAGGCCTACCTCTGTCTTTCAAACAAGTGGGAATAAAAATGTGAAGTTTTTAAATTAAAAAAGAAAGTCCTGAAAACTTCCAAGTCCAGATCCTGCCTAGGTGGGGAAACCGGGGAGTCTTGGTTGAATCCTCCTGTAGTTTCCCCACTCCCATCTCCCCAGAGCCCTGTGCCCCTCTGATGCTCTCCTGACCCTCCCTTTCCAGTGGGAAGGCTGCTGGGCCCTGTCGCCTTCTTCGTAGCCTGGTCGGTGTCCCGGCTTCCTGATGTCTGTGTATAACCCATTGCTAGAACATCTCTTCCTGAGGCCAATCCGTTTCTCCATAGGCCTGGTGACTCAGAGCTGCTCCTGGTGGGCACCAGGGTGGGGTCGTTGAGTCTCCAGCAGGTAGTGACGTGGCTGAAGGGACATGAGTGCCAGTCGTCTGCCCCAGAGTCCAGGGCCCTCTGCGCAGCAGCACCTGCCGCTGGGAGTGCAATGGGCGTCGACTCATCACTCTCCCACGCCCGTCTGTCTGTGGATTACTCCATTTGTAAACAAGGAAACTGAAGCGATGCCCCGCTGCTGGTCGTTCTGCATGTTACAATGATCGGCTTGGTGAGCCATCATAGCACAGCAAGAGAAGCAAACTACCTTCAATCTTACTAAGAGAGGAGGAGGGGGGTGGGGTGGGGAGAGGCAGCTGGAACTTAACCCAAGCCAGTGCACGGGAGGGTCCCAGTACAGGAGCCTGGTGGGCCTCCTGTTTATACCTGAGCACCTCCCCGTGAGTCACTGGGCTCCAAACAGTGGAAGAAGGGCAGCCAGTGCGCCTCAGTCTTTGGCCTTTGCCACAGGTGCAGCTCCCTTTTTGTTTATGACCCCACCCACGTGCCACAGCTGCAGCCCTTTACAGCCATTCCCACCCAGAGGCCTTTCAGCTGCCACTGCCTGTAGTGACCCTGTGGCTGTGGCTACGGTGGGAAGGACAGTGGCCACAGGATTACCTCCCTGCCCCTGTCGTGGGAGGCCAGGAGGTACCTGCTCCCTTTGTAGCGTTCCTTTGGGCAGTGATTTTGGTTAAGTAACTCAACAAAAATTACAAGGAATTCAAATCAACTTTTAAAAATTCATGGTGCCTCCCACCCCCATTTAGCTCCAGAAGTTACTGACTTGTTTCAGGGGCTCACATTCTCCCCTCAATTATAATTATTATTATTTAAAGACTTATTTATTTGAAAGGCGGTGTTATAGAGAGGCAGAGGCACAGGGCAAGGGGGTCTTCCATCCGCTGGTTCACTCCCCAGATGGCCACAATGGCCGGAGCCGGGCTGATCTGAAGCCAGGAGCTTCCTCTGGGTCTCCCACGGGAGTGCAGGGGCCCAAGTACTTGGGCCGTCCTCCACTGCTT